AAAAAGGGAAACACAAGCACTCCATATGAATTACAATTGCAGGTACGCAAATGCTTATGTCGTAGGAGGTGTTTAATTGTTTTGGACAACATTATAAGCAATGAAGCTTGGACTGACATCAGAAAGTGTGTTCCTGATGACAAAGTTGGAAGTTTCATATTACTAACCACTAGACACTTCAACCTAACCGACCGGTATAAATACGTGAGGTGCTATATCCATAACATGACTTTGCTAGATCCAAAAGAAAATTGGGAACTATTTTTTAATATCCTTTCTATTGATGAAGAGCACTTGGCCCCTAAATTTGAAAAAATTAGGAACCATGTTGTGGAGAAATGTGATGGATTACCCCGGTTAATTGTTGAAGTTGCCAAGCATTTATCTAAATGCAACAACATACAACAAGGGTGGATAAAGATTGAAAAGGAATTAGATTCATTGGGACTTCTAGATCACAATGCACTCAATGTTAGTTACAATATGTTGCCACATCATTTGAAAGTTTGCTTTCTATACTTTGGAGTCTTCCCAAAATGTAAAAGAATTCTGGTTAAAATGCTTATAAGGTTGTGGATTGTGGAGGGATTTGTGAAGCTATTGAAACATAAGGAGTTAGAAGATGAAGCTTATGAGTACTTACAGAGATTACTGATACAAGTCTTCTCTTAATTGAAGATCAAAGTTGTAATGACAAAATAATGACTTGTAGAATGCACAGTGCTATGCATAGCTTCTGTGTAGTAGAAACTCAGAAAGAAGGTACATCATACGTGTAGTACTTGATAGTAAACCTATAAAGTGAGGTTTGATTTGTGGAATACATTGAGATTGAAATATCATTATGTGGAATGAAATATTTATATATATATACATTGAGATTGAAATATCATTGTATTTATATATAATACAAAGGCAGAAGTGTCAAATAGGCCCATCTACAACTGCAAAGTGCTCAATTCACACCACGAACTAAATTAAGTGTCAAATATGCCAATCTACCAGCTAAATTTGTTCGATTGACTTTTTTTTACAGATTGCTAACAAGTTGCTTATTCAATTATTAAAAAATAATATATATATATATATATATATATATATATATATATATATATATATATATATATATATATATATATATATATATATATATATATATATGTAAACAGACACACACAACTCTACTACTCACACTGACTGGCAACCTCAAAGGCAAAAGCAGAAAAGTTCGGCTATGGCTTCTCTCATTTCCCCAACTCCATCTCTCCTAAAGCCTCTAGGGTTACATCCTTTACATTCAATCAGCGAGAAGGTTGAGATGCAACTCAAATAAGATTTTTTTGGCTTTTTTTTTTTTTTAATAACAGAGTTGCCTTGATGAGACATGGAAATGCAGAAGGTTGATGTGGCATATACCACAGTAGGAGGCGAATAGTGTAGTAAAATTATGTAAGGGAAAGGGGAATTTTCCCTAAAAAATTACGCATTAACATAAGAATTTTGACATAATAGTGTAATCTTCTAATCCTAGGATAAGGTCAAATGCATGTGAAATTAAATAGAAATCAATGAATTATATACATAAAATGTAAATGTTAGTTTACAGCAAAATAAAAAGAAACAGAAAGTTCATTCCTTAAACTCGCATAGTTACTTAGCAAATACCGAAAGCTAAATCCTATTACCCCTGTGGTCCCGGCAGCACCGAGGAGGTCTCCCTGGGGCGGAAATTCTTTATATATATATATATATATATATATATATATATATATATATATATATATATATATTGAATAGGCAACCTGCAAAAAAAAAGTCAATCGAACAAATTTAGCTAGTAGATGGATCTATTTGACACTTAATTTAGTTCAGAGTGGGAATTGAGCACTTCGCAGTAGTACATGGACCTATTTAATACTTCTGCTAAAAAAAATAATACGAAGTAATTATTATTATTATTATTATTATTATTATTATTATTATTATTATTGCTTATCCCACTTTATTGGAAAAGCTTTCTTCTCTTCAAGTCTTTATGCAGGAAGAACCGAGTGGTGGTAGTGCTACAACCAAGGATTTGAAAACCAAGATCAGAATCTTCACACTCAAAGCTTCCCGGGCACTACATCAAGTCTTGCAAGAAGCAACAGCAAACACAACAGAGTTGTTGAAGATTAGAGTTTTTTTTTTTTTTTTTTTTTTTTTTTTCAAAATAGTCCATCGACTATCGCACATTCTCAATTTTGCATTTTAATTTTTAATTGCACCTAATGTGGTTCCTTGACTTTTAAAAATTCTCCCAAATTGGTCATCCGTTAGGAATTCCGTCTACTAAGTGTTAAAATGAAGGGTAATTTTGTCCGTTTACCTATTATACGCTTAATATATACCCTGAGAAATAGTCAATGGACCATTTTGAGAAAAACTCATTTATTTATTTCATTTTTGTTTATTTTTATTTTTTTTAAGACTATCATATTAGAATTTCTATAGATTTTTTTTTTCTTACAAATATAAATAGTTAAAATCCACAATCAAACCTCAAAATTTTAAAATTTCTTTACAATTTTTTTCCTTCCGTCTAAACATACAAACTTTTCCTCTATCTTTTTTTATGTTTCATATATATATATATATATATATATATATATATATATATATATATATATATATATATATATATATATATATATATATATATATATATATATATATATATATATATACTAGTCTTTTCTATGCGCGATGCGCAAAACTAAGTGCCCAACATTAATATTCAATGTTAAAATTATGGTTATAATTTTTTTTAAAATAAAATTTTATAATTTTTTATAAAAAATTCATAAAATTTATAGTTGTAGAGAATTCATATTATATATTAAAAAGTATATTAATAATTATGGTATGATTTAATTTACTTATTACATATTCTAATATAATATCTACATATATATATTATTACAATTAAAACAATTAAAGAATGTCCTTTTCAAAAAAAAAAAAATTAAAGAATGTAAGAAAATATATGGTGAATGCAAGTACATGGTAACAACAATGGAAATAGATAACAGAAGTTATAACAGTAGGGGCATTGTTGTCCAAAAATTATATAGTACAACATTTATAGCTTAATGTATCAAAAAAGATAACAGAAAAACGGACATAAATGAAGGGTACCAACCTTCATTCACACTTATTAGATTCTTAGATTAGATATATATATATATATATATATATATATATATATATATAAAATCATACTAAAAGTTCAACAGACAATCAACCACTATGTATTACATTAAATATTATTTTTATAGTTAAAATTACATCTGTAAGGAGCAGCATCTTGAAAGATATTTATGATACCAACTTTTAATTCTAGCCACAATCTTATTTTTTATGAATCTCAAAATTTTCCTCTTATCCTTCTGTCCAATTTTCAGCTCTTTAACCAGTTGAGCTGCCCCTGACAATTTCCCTCTTATCCTTCCCACTATGGCTGGTAGTCCCAAATAATTACCACCCTCCTCCCTTCTCACAGTAAAGATACTCTTCACACTGTCCTTCATCCCAAAGGTAAACAGGATTGCTGACTTGTTAAAGTTTATCATTTGTTCAGGTACTTTGCCTCAACTGATGACTCGAGTGTGCAAATCAGTCCAATACCAAAAGCTTACACTGCACTATTACAGTACCGCTATCTGTGTTTAATTATTTATTTATTTATGTCATTAGTTTGTGAGATGGAAAAGACAATATTATCCGTGTTAAAATATAGAGTAAAATTTTCCAGCAAAAATTGAACGAAAAATGCACCGGAATAACCAAATTTGCTAAGAAAGTCATAGTCGTTGACCAATTTTACAAAATTTAAAAATCGTGAATAAAAGTTGTTTGTGACACTATAGTCGTGGGACCAAAAGAGCAAAAAAACTCTATAACATTCCTACAGGATTGCTGACTTTTCAATTTGTCGAGGGACAAAGACCAAAGACCCTAATAGTAGAAAAATAACAAGTGGACAAAAATAAAATATTTTAAAAAGTTAGAGGAAAATAGGAAAAATTCATTTTCCAAATATGTATATTGTTAGATTTTATTTTTCACGGTACGGAGAAGGCCGACGACCAGTTTGGTCGTCGGAGACCAAATTTTTTTTAAAATAAAAATAAAAATACATACACAAGTGATCATTTGTTGGTCTGTTTGACTGTGAAAAAAAATCTGACAACATACGCATTTTGAGAAATGAATTTTTCTTATTTTTGTCCAACTTTTTAAAATGTTATATTTTTGTCCACACTTGTTGTTTTTGTCCTCTCTGTCCCATATACTGCTGCATAGTCCTCCAGACAATATAGAGTGAGATTGCAAAAGAAGAGAAGAGAAGAGAAGAGAAGAGGATGGCTTATGTTGCTTTAACTTCTCTCATGGCAACCATCGAGCTTGAGTTTCTGCAACCAACCCCAAGGGTGTGTCTTCATGATGATGATGAAGCATCAATCAAATCATTGTTTGAAAACCTTTCTTCTTTGCAAACCTTTCTCGAGGAAGAATCCAGTGGTGATGGTGATGGTGATAGTTCTGTGGAGCTCAAAGATTTGGAAATCCAAATCAGGGACTTGGCACTCAAAGCCGAAGACGACATTGAAATACAACTGAGCAACTTTGTTCTGGCCGAAGACTACGACACAGAGCATCGAGAAAACGCTTCTCAGGAGCTCCTTCAAATCTTGAGAGAAGCAGCAGAAAATGCAGCAGATCAGATCGAGTTGCTGAAGATTGTAAGCAGAGAAAAAGATTCCTTTGTAAGTGAAAGAGAGATGGGTATTGTTGCTTTAACTAATCTCATCACAAAATTTGAGTATTAGTTTTTGCAACCCAACCCAATGGTGTGTCTTCATGATGATGATGATGATAAAGCAGCAATCATCAGATCTTTGTTTGAAAACCTTTCTGCAAACGGAATCCAGTGGTGGCAGTGCTAAATCCAAAGAATTGGAAATCAAAATCAGAGACTTTGCACTCAAAGCTGATGACGACATATGTAGCAACATCCTTCTCGCTAAACACAGAGCGATACGCCCTAACAACAAAAAGATAATGAAGAAGATCCTGGGAGGGCTGAATGATTACATGTGTTTTAGGGCGTCGTCTCACAGAGAAAACAATAATAATAATAATAATAATAATGCTTCTCAGGAACTCCTTCAAACCTTGCAAGAAGCAGCTGAAATTGCAGCAGAGTTGTTGATGATTATCAACAAAGAAAAAGGGCATCGGGCAGAGAGAGAGAGATGATTTGTAATGCTTTAACTTCTCTCAGGGGAACAATTCATGAGGTAGAGTTTCTTCATGACAAAGCGGAAATCAAATCTTTCTTTGAAAAGCTTTCTTCTTTGCAAACCTTTCTCGAGGAGGAATCTAGTGCTATGACCAAAGATTTGAAAACCAAAATCATAGATTTTGCACTCAAAGCTGAAGACCTCCAAATACAACTAAGCAACTTTTTTCAATCCAAACACACAACATCGTCTCAAGAAAAAGCTTCCAAGGGATTACTGCATCAAGACTTGCAAGAGGCAACAGAAAATGCAACAGAGTTGTTAAAGATTATAACCAAAGGAAAAGAGTACCATGAAAGTGCGAGAGAGATGGCAAGTGATACTTTAACTATTTTCATGAAAAAATTTGATTACTACTTTTTACAATCCAACCCGGTAGTGTTTCTTGATGATGAAGCAGCAAAGATATCTTTCTTTGAAAAGCTTTCTTCTATGCAAGCCTTACTGCAGGAGGAGTCTAGTGCTGGTGGTGCTATTATCAATGATTTGAAAACTGAAATCATAAACTTTGTACTCAAGGCCGAAGATGACATTGATACACAAGTAAACAATTTACTTGAGGCCGAAGACACAGAAGATTATCAACAAAAAGCTTCCCAACTCAATCAAACCTTGCAAGGAGCAACAGAAAATGCAGAAGGGTTCTTAATGATTATCAACAGCAAAAAAGAGTGTGATGATGAGATAGAGGAAATGGCTTGTGATGCTTTAAGTAGTCTCATGGAAACAATTCAGCAGGGGTTTCATGATGATGAAACAGTAATAAAATCTTTGCTTGAAAAGATTTCTTCTTTGCAAGCCTTTTTGAAAAAGAAGTCTAGTGGTGGTGGTGGTGTGACAGATTTGGAAGCTAAAATCAAAAACTTTGCAATCAAAGCTGGAGATGACATCAAAATACAAATAAACAATTTTCTTCATGCCAAAGATGCAGAGTATCAAGAAAAAATTTCCATTTTCCAGGAACTCCATCAAACCGTTAGAGAAGCAGCCGAAAGTGCAGCAGAGTTGTTGAAGATCATTATCAACAGTAAAATCAATGAAGTTGATGAGGCAAATGAAACTCAACCATCAAGTTGTTTGGTAAAATATGACTCCAAGTTGCTGAATGCTGAGTCCGATGGGTCCTTGCTGCACTCTCTAAAGCTCGAGGACAGAATGGTTGGTCGTCACCATGATTGTAGAGTGATAAAGGACCAACTACTCTCTTCCCATTATGAACTACCAAAGATAATCTCAATTGTTGGAATGGTGGGTATTGGGAAGACTACTCTAGCGAGAAATGTCTATGAAGACCCATCAATTGCAGCACATTTCGATGTGCGAGGTTGGATTACTATACCTCACGACTACAATAAGAGTCGAATGCTATGCGACCTTCTTCAGTCAATTACTCCAGTTGAGCCAAATGTAGTTAAAAAGGGAAGCACTCCAGATGAACTAGAAATGCAGGTATGCAAATGCTTACTTGGTAGGAGGTATCTAATTGTTTTGGACAACATTTTGAGCAATCAAGCTTTGATTGACATCAGACAGTGTGTTCCTAATGACAAAGGTGGAAGTTGCATATTACTTACCACTAGCCACTACAAACAAGAATACTACCATAGCAACTATATCCACCACATGGCTTTGCTAGATCCAAAAGAAAGTTGGGATGTATTTTGTAGTATCCTTCTTATTAAAAAGCACCTGGCACCAAAATTTGAAAAAATTAGGAATAGTGTTGTGGAGAAATGTGATGGATTACCAAAGTTAATTGTTGAAGTTGCGAAGCGTTTATCTAAGTTCAACAACATACAACAAGGGTGGAAGCAGATTGAGAAGGAATTAGAGTCATTGGGATTTCTAGATCGTAATGCACTCATGGTCACTTACAATATGTTACCACGTCATTTGAAAGTTTGCTTTCTATACTTTGGAGTCTTCCCAAAACGGAATAAAATTCTGGTTAAAAAGCTTATAAGGTTATGGATTGCTGAGGGATTTGTGAAGCCATTGAATCACAACGAGTTAGAAGATGAGGCTTATATGTACTTGCAGGAGCTTATTGATAGAAGCCTTCTCTTAATCGAAGATCGAAGTTGTAATGGCAAAATCAAGACTTGTAGAATGCACAGTGCCTTGCATAGCTTTTGCGTAGGAGAAGCTCAAAAAGGAGGTATTTTATGTGCCGTAGATACTCAACAACATTCAGGATTGCCATTAAAAGCATTTGCAAATTCTTGTCGTTGGCTAAGTTTGTACTCGCACCTTTTTGACTATTATGTGCTCTTTGGTACAAACATCCCTCGCTCCATTTTCTTCTTTCATGAAAATCCTGAAATGTTTGTTCCTCTCAAGCTGTTAAGAGTTTTGGTTTTTGATACTTCTATATTCCTTCAAAGAGTGCCGGTGCATTTAAGGGATTTAGTTTTTATAAGATACCTATCCGTAACACAATGGTACGAGGGTTTGGATGAAGTAGTGTCAAATAATCCAAATTTACAGACGCTTGTTGTTTCTCGTGATGGAGTACCAACTGTCCATTTGCCATCCAGTATTTGGAAGCCACCACACTTAAGGCATCTTGAACTTGGCAATTCATATACGGTGGATCCCCCAAGTATGGTTAAAGAGAGTTTGCAATCATTATCTTGTGTGTTGAGATCAATGCATTGCAGAATGGAGGTGTTTGACAAGTTGCCTAACATAAAAAAGTTGAAAATTTTCTTGAAAGAGGACATAGAGGCCAGTCACCCTTGTGGATCCTCCAGGAATCCTATTATTTTGGATTATCTTGACAATTTGAAAGAGCTTGAGAAGCTAACTATTTCAGTTTCGGTTGGCTGTGCAGTAACCCTCAAAGAAAGGTCTATGTTTCCTTCACAATTGAAGAAGTTGAGGCTAAGCGGGATTAATCTTTCTAAAAGGGATTTGATGGTAATTTGCGCGTTGCCCCAGCTTATGGTGCTTGAGTTGAGAAATACCTTCCATGGAAGAGTATGGGAAGTATATGACAGAGGATTCCTTAACTTAAGATTCTTGCTCGTTGAAGATGGAAAACTCAAGCATTGGGCTTGTGATTATGATACCTTTAGCTTTCCCTTTAGCAAGCTTGAGCGCCTAGTTTTAAGATTCTGTTGTGCTTTGGAACAGATCCCTAATATCTTTACAGATATTCCCAACCTGCAATTAATTGTGTTGGAGCAGTGTCAGTCTTCCCTTGTTACTTCTGCCAAATGGATTCAAGAAGAGAAATTGCATTATACAAACCATATTCTTGAGGTTAGAAGCTAAAATGTGAATCATTCATAATTTTTTATTCTTTTCTATTCAATGCTAAACTTTATTTACAAAATCAGTTTTTATTCTTTTTCCGATCTCATTTCATTTTCTGCATTATTTTTTCATAGATCAAATTCTGGGCCCTGAATATGATGAATTGCAGAATACACATACAAATGTGTCTACAGATGACAAACTTGCCAGCCTCACACTCTCAAAGTGATTTAACTGTTGTCACAAAATGGTACTTGTGAGGCTACATGAGTCTTTGCCTCTACATTTATATATACAAATATATATATATATATATATATATATATATATATATATATATATATATATATATATATATATATATATATATATATATATATATATATATATATATATATATATATATATATATATATATATATATATATATATATATATATTCATTTTTATAATTTAGAATTTTTTCACTCTGTCACCAAGTTCGATCTGACCTGAAAAATGATTTGATATGGTGTTGTTTTCTTGTACAGATAAATGAAGGTTTAATTTGGTTGTTGATGTAAAAATTTGAGTGCTTGGACCTCAGTGAAAATGTGCAGTTGGGATGACACTATGGACTATTTCAATAACATAAGTCCATGTGTATGTACACAGATATGTATATCTCTCAATTAACATCTGGTGCCTATATGTGATGTGATGTGAAGATCATACTACTTTACATCTCTGATTCCTTTCTGTTTTGCAATTAACCCTAAGTACTAAATGCTTTTGCAAATTGGTATGCTAATCGGATACCTTTTCAGAGATCAAAATCCTGGACGCCAAATATGATGAATCTCAGAATACACATACAAGAGTGTCTACATAAGACAGGCTTGGGCAGCCTCATAGTCTATAACTTTAGAAAATGGTATGTGATACGTTACAACTTACAAGTGCTGAATTTTCAATTGTGTAATTTTTTTTGCATTTTCTAGAGTTACATCCCACTTTTTTTTTTTTTAATCAGTAATTATGCAATACTGGCTTGGCAGTTGGGCTTACACCAGAGTCAAGCTTATACAGATATATTGAAGGTTTAATTTGGTTGTTTTTCCTTAGACCTTAGCTGTGAAAATGTGCAGTCCAGATGAAACTATGATCTAATTCAATAATGTAACTGAATGATGCAGTATTGCTTAACCTGGTTTTCTCACTGTAGTATTATTATATTGTCTACTGAAACATGGGCTCAAGAGAATTTTTATCTCCAAACATTGTGAAAGAAAAGAGATCTAATGTTGATGTTTTTTCTTTTTGAAGAAATCATGTTGGTGACTTTGAAAATATTTTAAATTAGCTTAGGAAGCTGCTAGTCTCAGCTCTCAAGTATTGAAGATCTACAGGTAATAGGAATTGCTTAGTTATGTTCCTTCTAAACATGACTGATTAATATTGATTTATAAGGCTAAGTATAATTCTAAAACTTCTTCATGAGATTGATTACATCCATTTCATGCATTCTATAGGGTATCGAATGAAAGATTTTACAGTGATCGAGCTATTGAATGCGTGCTCTAGACTAGAGATGCATCGTGTTCTTGAAATGACTTGCAGAACCTGCAAAAATCGTATTCTTCAAAATCCAAGAACCTGAATATGATGAATCACATATAGAAGAGTGTATAGATGACGACTTGGATGGCATGAGTCTTCACTTGGGTTTGAGAGAGTACCTATCAATCTATCATTATTGCTCTTGTTGTCAGGCCATGTTAGCCGTCTAGAGTGAGCCATTGCGAATGTAACTTCTCAAGAGGTAAATAGTAATAATATAATCGTATGAAACATCCTAGCCATTTTGATTGAGTTTTCTAATGTTGATGCTCGAAGAAATTATGTTAGTTGGTCATTCGGCCAAGTGAGTTTGTAGATTCATATTTCATAAAGTGTCTATATGTGATAATGATATGACTTTACTTTTGTTTGTGATTATGAATTGCTAGTATATACAAACTAGCAATATATGTCAAACAATAAAACTACATAAAACATGGCAATATCATTTCGAATGCAATCTATCACCAAAAGCGATCATATGATAGGTTATCGCGCACATAACTTGAACAAAATGCACCACAATCTAAAAAATATATGCACACTAACTTTCTAGCATGTGATAATGAAAATATGTCACACAACAAACATAAACCAATTAAATTATAAGTGCAACTCGATGCTTGAAAGTCTATAAATTAAACTTATTTTGTTGGTTGACTTTTAATTTGAGTGTGTGTATAGGAGAATTAGATGGTTTGTTCATCCTTCAATTTCTTCCTTCTTTAATTCAAGTCAAATAGTGATGTGAAGAATTGATCCAAATACTTGCCAAACTCATATTTTAGTGTTTTAGCCTTTAAGGTAATTATAAAGACATATATATTATCAAATTGATAAGTTGAATAATTTTGCTAATTTATATACTTTCTCTAGTAAGAATCACTTTAAAATTTGGCTCCAACAACTAACAATTGGGTGCATGGGAGTTCAAATTATATTGAGAACCTCAGAGTCATGGGGAGATTTTGACCAATTAGAGGAGATAAAAAAAAAAATCCTTATACACAAAGTGTACATGCAGAGGTGAGAACCTAAGGATTTACATAGTGACTTGCGATTTATCTCCTTCGAACTTGTACACAAACTACTCCAGGATACTTCTTACAGACTGAATTTCACATCTGATTGTTGCTTGATTCACGAAGTGCATGGGATGACAATAGGTTTTGCTAAAGAAGAGAAAGGGCTATATATCAAAGGCTGAATAGGCAGAATTATGACTAAGAATGTGGCTGAGATTTGGCAGAATTAGGACTGAGATTTGAATATCATATTTGTCATAATTTGTATATTAGGTGTATATATTCTTACCTAATGTAGAATAACAATAATTAGCGTAATAAGTGTAGATATATTCTTGTCTAGAATAAGTTGTACAACAATCACTATTTATTGGAGAGATTATCAAGAAGGGGACATGCAGTCTTTTTCTCAAAGTTTGTCATGGTATCAGAGCTAGTTTTTATTTTTTGAAATGCATAGCTGAATCTTCGAATTTCTGTGTTTTTTTCCTGTGTTGTTGTCTTCCAGAGGTTTCTGTTTTTTTTTTTTTTTTTTTTTTGGAAGAATGTCTGGAGAGAATTTTCTTGGAAGGATGCCAACAGAGACTTTGGCTATCAGATTTACAGGAAAGAACTATGCAGCATGAGAATTTCAGTTCAGAATGTTTCTGAAAGGGAAGGAGCTTTGGAGTCACATTGACGAATCTGCTCCAGCTCCTGAAGAAGGTCAAGAACGTGATCAATGGGAGGTAAAAGATGCTCGGATCATCTCTTGGATTTTAGGTTATATTGAAGCTCATATGGTGAACAATTACGTTCCTCGCACAGCTAAGGAGATGTGGGATTATTTGCAGCGCATCTATCATCAAGGTAACACTGCAAGACGATTTCAACTCGAACTTGAGATAAGTAACTTCAATCAATGTAATCTCTCTATTGAGCAATATTATTCTGGATTTATTAATCTATGGAGCGAATATTCTAGTATTATTTACTCAAAGGTACCTAAAGAGGCCTTAGCCAGCCTTTAAGAGGTTCATAAAGATAGTCAACGTGCTCAGTTTTTGATGAAACTGAGGCCAGAATTTGAAGTTGCTCGGGGTGGATTGCTGAATAGATCTCCTGTCCCTTCCTTGGATATATGTCTTGGTGAATGATTGCGTGAAGAACAAAGAATGGCTACACAAGCTGTTCTAGGTTCGTCCAAGGAGACTTCTGAGGTTGTTAATGTTGCTCATGCGGCTCAAGGGAAGGACAGAGGAAAGGGACAAATGCAGTGCTATAGTTGCAAGGAGTTCGGGAATATTGCCCGTAATTGTGGTAAGAAATTCTGTAATTATTGTAAACAGAATGGACACATTATCAAGCAATGTCCTACACGCCCAGAAAATCGACGAGGCCAAGCTTTTCATGCTGCTATCTCAGACCCTACCAATATCAGTTCTCCAGCTACGATTGTTGGCACAAATCCGTCTTTTGTTACTCCAGAAATGGTCCAACAGATGATCATCATAGCATTCTCTACTCTTGGACTTCATGATCAAGGTAAGATTGTTTCTTCTCCTTGGTTTGTTGATTCTAGAGCATCAAATCATATGACTGGATCACCTGATTGGCTGCATAATCTTCGAAAGTATACTGGTAAACAACAAATTCAGATTGCAAATGGAAGTAATCTTCCAATTACCGCCATTGGTGATATTGGACCTTCCTTTCTTCATGTATTTGTCTCTCCAGGATTGTCTACTGGTTTAATCTCCATTGTGCAGTTGGTGGATAATAACTATAATGTAAATTTCTCTTGTCTTGGTTGTCTTGTGCAGGATCAGGGGTCGGGGAAGGTGATCGTGAGGGGGCCTAAAGTGGGCAGATTATTTCCATTTCAATTTATTCCTAGAACTTTTTCTTTGTCATCTATTGTTATTGAAAATAAGGCTGATATTTGGCATAAACGATTGTGCCATCCAAATAATGTGATATTATCTCATTTGATGAAGGATGGTTTTCTTGGCAACAAAAATCAGTGCTCTTCTAGTAGTCTTGATTGCTCTGTTTGAAATTATACATAGTGATGTTTGGGGTATTACTCCTATCACTTCCCATGTGCAGTATAAATATTTTGTGACATTCATTGATGACTATAGTCATTTTACATGGATATATTTTCATTGATGACTATAGTCATTTTACATGGATATATTTTCTGCGTACCAAAGCTGAAGTTATCACTGTTTTCAAAAGTTTCATAGCTTATAATGAGACTCAATTTTCCACCCTCATCAAGGTTCTACGGTCCGATAACGGAGGTGAGTATATGTCACAAGATTTTCAAGCTTTCTTACAACAAATGATCACCAAATTGTTTTGCAGACAGACTCGTCTCCAATAAATGTGAAACCATATCGTTACGGACATAATAAAAAAGATGAGATTGAAAAGTTGGTGGGGGAGATGCTGGTTGCGGGTATCATTTAACCAAGTTCAAGTGGCAGACTCCTCTCCAATAAATGTGAAATCGTATCGTTACGGACATAATAAAAAAGATGAGATTGGAAAGTTGGTGGGGGAGATGCTGGTTGCGGGTATCATTCAACCAAGTTCAAGCCTGTTTTCAAGTCCGGTTTTATTTGTCAAGAAAAAAGATGGCAGCTGGAGATTTTGTGTGGATTACCGGGAACTCAACAAAGTTACCGTACAAAACAAGTACCCCATTCCGATCATTCAGGAAATGTTAGATGAATTACACAGGGCTCGGTATTTCTCTAAAATTGATCTTCGTTTGGGGTACCACCAAATCCGAGTTGTTCCACAGGATGTGCCCAAAACAGCGTTCCGAACGCACTCTGGCCATTACAAATTCTTAGTAATGTCGTTTGGGTTAACGAATGCACCGGCTACCTTCCAAGCTCTAATGCATGACATCTTCCGGCCATTTCTTCGCCAATTTGTACTAGTTTTCTTCGATGATATTCTGGTGTATAGTATAACTTGGGAGGCACATTTGACACACTTGACAGTAGTGTCGGGGACACTTCAAGATCACCAATTGAAGGCTAATGCAAAGAAATGTCAGTTTGGTCAAACTACTATTGAATACTTGGGCGATATTGTTTCTCAGTTTGGAGTTGCAATGGACCCATCAAAAGTCTCTAGTGTTCTCCGTTGGCCTGTACCAAAATCTGTCAAAGCTATTCGGGGCTTCTTAGGCCTTACAGGCTACTTCTGGAGGTTCATTAAGGATTACGAGAAAATAGCACAACCCCTCACCGGAAGTTCATTAAGGATTACGGGAAAATAGCGCGCACAACCCCTCACAGCCCTTTTAAAGAAAGACGCGGGGGAAAAATTCATTTGGCCGGTAGCTGCGCAAAAGGCTTTTGATGACCTCAAAAATGCAGTCACCACATCTCCTGTTTTGGCAACACCTGATTTTTCTCACCCATTCATTATTGAATGCGATGCATCAGGAACAGGAATTGAGGCGGTGTTACTCCAAGGTCATCGACCAATAGCGTTTTTTATCAAGGGACTCTCTGGTCAGACATTGGCAAAGTCTACTTATGAAAAAGAATTAATGGCCTTTGTGCTGGCAATTCAACATTGGAGGCCATATCTCATAGGGCATCGATTCATAGTCCGGACAGACCATCGTAGCCTTCGCCATTTATTAGAGCAGCACATCACCACCCCATTGTTTTCCCCTACTTGCTGCATCAAAAACCAAATCACAAGCTTCTGATAAAAAACGAGCAGTTCCAGTAAGATTTGTAATATGAATACCTTTACGCTTTGCCGAGATATAAGGGGCCATTTTAGGATTCCATTTCCGAGTACCATGACCAAAATGAACTCCGGCCTCCATCATCTCTTCCAAATTGATGTTCCAATATATTTTTGTCATTTCTCCCCCCCCCCCCCCCCCCCCCCTTTTATTCTTAAAAAAAAAGAAACGAGGAATTTTGAATTTCAAAAAAAAAAATTTGTTCCGAAGGAACCTTCTCCTTTATCGTAGATTGGACGTAGATATACGCCCCGAACCTTTATTCTTTTCTATTCATTTTTGTTTTTATTACCAAACTAAATGACCAAATTTAGATAGTGCATGCAAGGCAAGGGGTGAGTTTGCTCTTAGGAATCATTATAAATCCTATAAATGATTGTTTGATGTATTGTATTATGTGATGTATTGTGGAATTTTTTTGAAAGGGAAGAGTCTAATAATTTTCTGTGGTGGGACAAAATATCTCTCACCCCCCCCCCCCCCCCCCCCCGAATAGATTCTTTTTTGTTGTTTCTAAAGAAAGGTTATTATATTGTTTTGAAGGGTGCACTAATCCTCTGAATCCGGTACCTGCGGGTATCACCCCCCCCCCCCCCAAAACAACGTTCTCTTTCAAGCCTTTCAACCAATCGATACGCCCCTGGAGAGCTGCTTTTGCTAAAACTCGAGCAGTTTCTTGAAAACTCGCTTCCGATATGAAACTTTGAGTATTGAGAGATGCTTTTGTTATTCCCAATAAAAGGGCTCGATAACAGATTGCTTCTTCTAAAGCACGCCCCATTCGTTTTGCTCGCAACAATCTAATAAGTTCTCCAGGTGAAAAAACATTAGACATTCCGTCTTCTGAAACCAACACGTTTGATGTGATTTGACGTACAATAATTTCGATATGCCGATTATGAATCTGCACTCCCAACAGAATTGGGTGGTCAAACTCATGGGGTATGACTTTGAAGTTGTGTACAAGCCTGGGCGATTAAATAATGCAGCAGATGCTTTGTCTCGTCAGAATGAGGAGCTTGAACTATCGGCAGTATCTTTACCAATGTGGATAGATTAGGCTGAATTGGGTACAACCATTGCCAATGACTCAAACTTAAGTTCTATTGTACAACAGCTTCGCAACGACCTGACAAGCCGACCTCCTTTTCAACTTCTTCAATGGCGTTTGTTTTATAAAGGACGCATTGTTCTACCAACCACATCACCTTGGATTTCTCGGCTCTTGGACGAATTTCACTCCACGCCAATGGGAGGGCACCCCGGAGCTTATCGCACTTACCGCCGAATAGCTGCCAGCATTTATTGGAAGGGTATGATGAAGCAAACACAACAGTTTGTGGCAGAATGCTTGGTGTGTCAAAAGAATAAACATGACACAATGGCACCAGCTGGCCTCCTCCAGCCTCTTCCTATCCCAATGGCTATTTGGGAGGATATTGCAATGGATTTTATCACTGGATTGCCACGCTCCTACGGGGTTGATTGCATTTGGGTGGTCATCGATTGCCTCACTAAATATGCTTATTTCATAGGGCTCAAACACCCTTTCAGCGCCAAGTCTCTTGCTAGCATATTTACAAAAAGAAATAGTTCGCTTACATGGGGTACCGCGATCAATAGTAAGTCATCGAAACTCAACTTTTTTGAGTACTTTTTGGACAGAATTTTTTGACAAGTGAGGCACCAAGCTGCGCATGAGTACTACTTACCACCCTCAAACGAATGGCCAGTCTGAAGTTCTCAACAGATGCCTTGAGCAGTACTTACGGTGTATGACATCCGAAACAATGGGGACGCTTCCTCCATTGGGCTGAATACTAGTACAATACTTCCTTTCATAGTGCGGCTGGCCTGACCCAGTTTCAAATGGTGTATGGACGGCTTGCACCAAGCTTGCAACAGTATTTACCCGGAGAGTTTAAAGTGGAAGCAGTAGCTGAAGAACATGCTGATAGGAACGAAATGTTAAGACAACTCCGTTACAACTTAGAAAAAGTTCAGAATAGAATGACTGAAGTAACAAATGCCAAGAGACGCGAGTTGGAATTCATTGAAGGAGACAAAGTTTTATTGAAACTTCGGTCACACCATCAATCCACAATCCACCATCGCATCAACCAAAAGCTAGCCCCTTGCTTCTACGACCCTTTTACGATTGTCAAAAAATTCAGTGTGGTTTCCTACAAGCTGGCACTGCCAGCAACTGCAAAGGTACACCCTATATTTCATGTGTCCCAGCTCCGAAGAGTTATAGGAAATCACATGGCAGTAACTGATCTTCCCGAAGAGATGGCTTTGACCGACCATGGTTATTTTCCGCAAGACATCTTAGATGTTCGCAAACTGCAAGGGATTTCGCAGGTTATAGTGCAGTGGGAGGGCAACCCGAAAGATGACGCTACTTGGATGGATGTGTCTGATTTCCAAAGTCAATTTCCCCACGTACTCCAACCATGAGGACAAGGTTGTTTCTCTGGGGGGGGGGGGGGGGGCAATGATACACACCCAAAGGAATGGGTGGTTTAGTCACGCAAAAAAGGGAATCAACACAAGATTGGAAATCTGGACAGCAAATCAGGCAAATCAAAACAATCAAAACACTAATCAAGGGACAAGCTTAAATCATGGAACCTGACAGAGATAAATCAGCTTCTCAATTCTCTCCCTTTACTATATTTATTTTCTGCATTGCAGTATAAATTGTAACCTCCTCAAGAGAGGAGGGCATCGAATAATCTTCCTAAGCACGGCCGTTCTAATAAAAATTGGAGCCCTGTGCAATATCTTTTAATTTGAGGTCTTTTTTTTTTTAAAGTAATTTATATATATAAATAATAGTTCTTCAAAAAGTTGTATCAAAATATAAATATTGTATAAAAATATATCTAACATTTCATTTAAAAAAGTATATATATTTGTGTGTATGTGTGTGTATATGTATATATATTTTCTAATCCCTTGATTCCCTTCCCTACTTTTGGCGGTTCCCAATTCCTAAATCTTGATTGACAAGTACCATTGTTAATTAAGAATGGCAATTCCCAATTCAAAATCTCAAATAACAAGTAGCATCTTCGATTGGGACCTTCAACTAATTAGCAATTACCATTATTTTTATTCTTGAATTCAATTCCCAAATCTCGATGAGCAGTGTGGTGATATTGATAGAAATGAATTGTATATTGAGCTAAAATTGCTTAGAGAGATTTTATCGAAACAAAAGATAGGGACAATGAGTATATTGAATTCATTGAAACACATGAGTTTTTTTCCAAATACTACTATTGCCTCTGCAGAAAGAAGTTTTTCAAAGTTGAAATTGTTGAAATTTTACTTACGATCAAGTATGTTACGTTGCAAGAGAGACTCAATGGAATAGTTTAATGTCCATTGAAAATGAGCTTTTGGAAGAAGTTGATATCAAAAGTTTGGTGGATGATTTCGAACCTGATTTGATCTTTCTGAGGTTTCTGAAGGATGCGAAAGCGCTGGCGGCAGATCGGATTCCTTGATTAACGGCTGCGATGTTAACGAGGCGGCGTCGTACGCGACGAGCGAACATCATCATCATCGGCATGATTCGTGCTTCGCTCGAGCCCTCAGTGCGGCACAACGCTACGAATGTTCTTCCTGTAGCAAGGCGTGTGGGCTCCACATTTTCCTGCCGTGGCGGATGAAGCCGAAGCCGTGCGGCGGCGTCAGGAACTCCATCATGGCGACGACCGCTTCTCCTAAACTGAAGCCGTCGCAATGGGGCACCAGAAAACCTCAGGATCATGTGTGAATTGAAATACATGGCCTAAATCAGCTGTAAATTAATTTGACTATGTAGTATACTAGTATGTATACGGTCGTGGAGGACTAGAACGAGGGCGGCATATGCATTATGCTAGAGCTCCGCCGATGCATTATTGACCTGCTATAGCATATCACAATTAGAATTTTGGATCTTGCTGCACTAAATTAATAAGTTAACGTGTTTAATTGCAACTTTTAAAAGTTCGGGAGCCTAATTCACTTTTTTTTTTTCACAAAATTGAAGGGTGTATTTGACCATTTTCCTTTACAAAAAAAATTCACTTATTTTTTTACATATCTCTTTATAACTATTTTCTCATAAAGTATAAAATATTAATATCACCTCTACTAATGCTCAATCTTACAACCCTACTTGATGGAGTAACTTCGCCATTAGACCACAGGTCCTGGCAAAAGCACTTTTTTTTTTTTTTAAATTCTAGTTTTGTCTTTTGACGAAATGGAGAATTGACAATTGACCATTTGAGCTTTCTTTAGATGGAATTTTTGATAGCGAGCTCTTCACAAACTCTTGCATATTTATCTTTCTATTATTACATATTCTTACCAAGAAATACACAAACAAACATTGCAATTGAGAGATGGCTTTTGTTGCTTTAACTTCTCTCATCGAAACCATTGAGCTTCAGTTTCTGCGACCCACCCCAACTCCCCAAGGGTGTCTCTCCATCTCCATGATCGAGCACCAATCAAATCTTTGTCTGAAAACCTTTCTTCTTTGCAAGCATTTCTCTAGAAGGAATCCAATGGTGATGATGATGATGGTGCAGTCCGAATCAGAGATTTGGAAATCCAAATCAGAGACTTTGCGCTAAAAGCTGAAGACGACATCGAAATACAACTCAGTAACATCCTTCTCGCTCAGCTTGAGGACACAGAGTATCGAGAGAAAGCTTCCCACGAACTCCATCAAACTTTGCGAGAAGCTACAAAAAATTCAATAGAGCTGTTGAAGATTATAACCACAGAAAAAGAGTGGTGTGTAAGTGAGACAGAGATGGCTATTATTGCTTTAACTATTCTCATCACAAAATTTAAGCATCACTTTCTGCAACCCTTCCCAACGGTGTATCTTGGTGATGAAGCAGTAATGGGATCTTTCTTAGAAAAGCTTTCTTCTCTGCAAGCCTGCTTATTGCAGGGGAAATCCATTGGTGGCGCTGCAATCGAAATCAGAAACTTCGCACTCAAAGCTGAAAGTGACATTGAAATACTTTCTTCAAGCCAAACACACTGAGCATGAAGAAGAAGCTTCCCAGCAACTCCGGCAAACCTTGCAAGAAGCAGCCGAAATTACAGCAGAGTTGTTGGGGAATATCTACATAGAAGAACAGCATGAGAAAGAGAGGGAGAGCACTTGTGCTAGTTTAACTTTTCTCATGTCAATAGTTAATAATTATGAGTTTGCTTTTGATAAACCGGGAATCAAATTGGATTTATTGGTAAAGCTTTCTTCTTTGAAGAACTACTTACTATTCAAGAAGTCTAGTGGTTGTGCTACAATCAATGATTTCGAAACCAAAATCGAAATCTTTGCACTCAAAGCTCTAAAAGACTTGATGATGATAGAGCATACCCAGCTGAATCGAACCTTGCAAGAAGTAACAGAAAATGCAAACGAGTTGTTAATGAGTGGAAAATAGACAGAGATTGCTTATGTTGCTTTAAGTAATCTCATGGGAATAATTGAAGAGTTTCATGAAGATGAAGAGTTTCTATCTGATGTTGGAAAGAAATCTTTCCTTGAAAAGATTTCTTCTTTGCAAGCCTTTTTGCGAAAGGAATCCAGTGGAAGTGCTGTAATGAAAGATTTGGAAACTAAAATCAAAGACTTTGCACTCAAAGCTAAAGATGACATCCAAATACAGGTAAACCATTTTCTTCAGGACAATGACACAGTGTATGAACAAAAAGTTCCCCAGGAACTCCATCACACCATGCTAGAAGCAGCAGAAAGCGCAGCAGAGTTGCTGAAGATAATCAATGAAGTTGATGAGGCAAATCAAATTCAACCATCACATACTTGGTTAAAACATGCTACTGCTTCCAAGTCTGCCAATGTTGAGTCTGATGGATCCTCACATCGCTTTCTAAAGCCTGAAGGCAGAATGGTTGGTCGTCACCATGATTGTACAGTGATAAAGGACCAACTCTTTTCTTCCTGTTCTGCAGTACCAAAGATAATCTCAATTATTGGAATGGTGGGCATTGGAAAGACAACTCTCGCAAGAAATGTCTATGAAGATCCAGCAGTTGCGTCCATTTCAATTTAAGAGGTTGGGTTACTATACCTCAACACTACAATAAGAGCCGAATGCTAAGCGACCTTCTTCAGTCAATTACGCCAGAGGAGCCGAATGTAATTAAAAAGGGAAGCACTCCACATGAACTAGAAATGCAGGTATGCAAATGCTTACGTGGTAGGAAGTATCTAATTGTTTTGGACAACATTATGAGCAATCAAGCTTGGACTGACATCACACAGTGTGTTCCTAATGACATAGCTGGAATTTGCATATTACTAACCACTAGCTACTTCAACCGATATATCTCCTAGAACAACTATATCCATAACATGACTTTGCTAGATCCAAACGAAAGCTGGGAACTATTTGGTAATATCCTTTCTATTGAAGAGCACTTGGTCCTTAAATTTGAAAAAATTAGGAACCGTGTTGTGGAGAAATGTGATGGATTACCACAGTTAATTGTTGAAGTTGCCAAGCGTTTATCTAAATGCAATAACATACAACAAGGGTGGAAGAAGATTGAAAAGGAATTAGAGTCATTGGGAATTCTAGATCGCAATGCAATTGCTATCAGTTACAATCCGTTGCCACATCATTTGAAAGTTTGCTTTCTATATTTTGGAGTCTTCCCAAAACGTAATAGAATTCTGGTTACAATGCTTATAAGGTTGTGGATTGCTGAGGGATTTGTGATGAATCCATTGGAACATAAGGAGTTAGAGGATCAAGCTTATGAGTATTTACTAGAGCTAATTGATAGAAGCCTTATCTTAATTGAAAATCGAAGTTTTGATGGAAAAATCAAGACTTGTAGAATGCACAGTGCTATGCATAGCTTCTGTGTAGGAGAAGCTCAGAAAGAAGGTATTTATGTGCGGTAAATACTCAACAACATTCAGGATTGTCATTAGATGCATTTGCAAATTCGTGTCGTTGGCTAAGTTTATATCCACACAGTTTTGACTATTATGTGCTCTTTGGTACAAATATCCCTCGCTCCATTTTCTTCTTTCATAAAAGTCATAAAATGTTTGTTCCTCTAAAGTTGTTAAGAGTTTTGGCTTTTGATACTTCTATTTTCCTTCAAAGATTGCCATTGCATTTAGGAGATTTAGTTTTCCTCAGATACCTATCCATAACACAATGGTTTCAGGAATTGGATGATGTAATGTCCAATAATCCAAATTTACAAACACTTGTTGTTTCCGGTAATGGAGCACCAACTATCCATTTACCATCCAATATTTGGACGCCACCACACTTAAGGCATCTTAAAATTGGAAATTTGTATATGGTATATCCTCCCCACGAGGATAAAAAGAATTTACAAACATTATCTTGGGTGGTGAGACCAATTCATTGCAGAAAAGAGGTGTACAACAAGTTCCCTGACATAAAAGAGCTGAAAATTTTCCTGAAGGATGACATAGAGCCCAGTCACATTGGAGGATGTTGTAGGAATCCTATAATTTTGGATCATTTTGACTATTTGAAAGGGCTTGAGAAGCTTAGCATTTCGGTTTCTATTCGTTGCAGTGCAGCCCTTCCAGAACAGTGTATGTACCCTTCAGGATTGAAGAAGTTGAAGTTGAGTGGGACTAATATTTCTGAGAGGGATTTAAATGTAATTGGCATGTTACCCAGGCTTATGGTGCTCAAGTTGGAAAATGCCTTCCATGGAACAGTATGGAACACAGTAGCTAATGGAGGGTTTCCTTTATTAATATTCTTGCTCCTTGAAGCTAAAGAACTCGAGCAATGGGTAGTTAGCTTTCATCACTTTCCGATGCTCAGGCACTTAGTCTTAAGATCCTGTAATTGTTTAGAACAGGTGCCAAAGCGTTTTTCATGGCTGAAGTCAATTGAGTTGGAGGGGTGTCGCTCTTCCCTTGTGGCTTCTGCCAAGCAGTTACAACAGATGAGAAGATCCATGCATTTTAAGGATGATCTTGAGGTTATAAGCTAAAGCATGTTTCCTTTTAATTTTTATTTATTTTTCTATTCAAAGCTGATTTTCTTTACAATATCAGTTTCTAATTCTTATCTCATTTCTTTTTCACAGATCAAAATCATTGGCCCTAAATATGATGACTCACAGAATACACATACACAAGTGTCTATGTAAGATGACTTAGCCAACCTCATAGTAAAATAACAGTTAGAAAACGGTATGTGTTAGCCTGTTAGGTTACTACTGCTGATTTTCCAATTGTATAATTTTTGCATTTTCTAGAGTTACATCCCACTTTATTTTATTTTATCCAAACTAATTATAGTTGCGTATACAAAAAATAAATTCTTTGGTTAAGATTTAATGATTCCTCATTAATAGAAGAAACCTGCAGAGTATCCTGAAGTTGTAACTTTTTATTACCAAACATTGTGAAGGAGAAGAAGATTCATTACATTAATATTGGGGTGTAACTTTTCTATTGTCTTTTGAGGAAATCATGTTGGTAACTGGGGCAAGGTATTTCATTTGGTGCCTATATGTGATGATCATACTACTTTACATCTATGTTTCTTTCTCTCTTGCAATTAATCCTGAGTGCTAATGTGCTTTTGCAGATTGATTTGTCAATTGAATACCTTTTTGAAAATTTTTCAAACTGGAAGCTACTAGTGATCAAGTATTGAAGATCTAGAGGTAAGAAGAATTACTTTGTTATTTCCTTCTAATTGAATGATGTGGGACTAAAACTTTAAATTCATAGTAGGACTACACTTATTATTTATATATATTTTGTTCAACAGTTCCGCCTCACTAATTGATATTGATAATTGATATGCAAGGCTAATTATAATTCTAAAAACTTCTTCATGAGATTGGTTGCATCCATTTCAGGCATTTTGTAAGGCATTAAACCAAAGATTTTACAGTGATCCTGGTTTCAAAGAGAATGCTTTCAAATCCTGTAGTCAGTCTTCTGGTGATTTTCTTTACCATTTTATTTTAAGCTACTGAATGCTCTAGACTATAGATGCATCTTATTCTTGAAATTGTTTGCAGAACCTGGAAAAATTGTGCTCTTCAAAGGGGTTGTAGAACATGCAGAATGAAAAGTTTTTTAATAGAGAAATTGAATTAGTCTCACTTTGTACTTAATTTCATAACAATTGAACCACATTCACCAACTACTAATTATATTCAACTAATTCAAAGGTCAAATAGGATTAATATTTCTATTAAGAATTGAAAAAATCACCTAGGATAAATGAGTGAAACATTCAATTTGCCAACAACTAACTGTATGAAATTAAAAAATGGGGAATTTGTATCTCTTTAGAATCACAGAATGAAAGTATCTCGCAAAACTTACACCTCTACAGTTGCTAACAACTCTGCAATTGTATTTGTGATCATGATGTGTTTGTTGCATTCTTTTCGCTACAAACAGGGTAGCTAGCTAGGAGAGTTTTTGAAAAGTTTTGCAAGTGACTTGGAGAATGCCTTGTGTGAAAAAGTATGGGAAGTAGCTAAAGGAGAATTCTGTAGACTAAGATTCCTGCTTCTTCAAGCTAATAAACTCCGTATGGATGCTAACTTTCTATACGAACTTGTTACTATTTCTTTTTCTGACCTGATATCATTTTGTTTTGCTCTATTTTTTCGTAAATCAAAATCCGTGAATCCAATGCATCACAAATAGAAGAGTCTGCACAAGACAACTTGGTCAGGCACGTAGTGAATTGAAGTAACAGTTATTTTAAAATGGTATGTGTGAGGCTGCATGTGTCTATGTATCTGCATTTACAGTTGCATGCCAGATGAAATGAAATGTTGTTGCTACCTTGTACAGATAATTGAAGGTTACAAACGAATTGGTTCCTCATGACTTCATCAACTGATCTTCAATTCAAAATTGAGGTTAGAGGCTACATCATGCTTCATTCTTAATATTTTATTTTCTTTTACAATCTTTGGAAAAGCTGTTACTATTTCTTTTTCTGATCTTAGTTCGTTCTCTCCATTTTCCATGGGTCAAAATTGATGGGCCTAAATGTGAGGAATCATCGTATCCAGTTGAAGAAGATGACTTAGCTGAGATCACAGTGAATTAACTACCGTTAAAAATTGGTATGCACACAGATATTGAATGGCACCTTCAATTTTGATCAGATGCTAAATGTAGAACGTATGTAATGAAGTGTTTATGCATTAAGCTGAATAAATGAATATGCTGTACAGGTGCCTATATATACAAACTAATAGTAGGACTCAGCCACTCATTTGAATTTCAAAATGAGTAGCTGAGAGTAACCTGCTAACAACCTTCTAACACTAAGGCCTTGTTTGGTAAAAAATTGGCCTATAGGCCAATTTTGGCTTATTTGACTACTATTAATTGTTTGATTTAGTTAAAATATCAATATAAATGTTTGGTTAATTAACTTTTTGCAACTTCAAAAGGCTAAAATTCAAAAAGCTACTCCAAGCAACTTTTTCAATTAGCTTTTTGAGAAAATAAATTATACCAAACAGCTATCAGCTAACAGCTAATTTACCAAACATTTTTCTACAATCAGCCAATGTTATCAACTATTTATACCCTCTAATTAACACAATCAACTAACAGTTAACAGCTATCAGCTAACAGCCATTTTACCAAACAAGGGCCTAAATGACAAGGTATGTTGCTAGAATTGCATTCTAATAACTTCATTAACTAACATTCAATTCAAAACATAGATTTCTTGTTTGGTGCTTTTCTTTCCTTGTTCAATTCCAAGTGCTATCATTATCGTAATTGCCTAGTTTATTTCAAAAAATGCATTGGATATTCTTTGGCAGCCAAATGTTTCAATATTGCTGAACCTGGTTTTGAATAGTTCAATAATTGCTACCTTTGGTCAAGAGTTGTGGGTTCCTTGTGAATGTAAGATGCTATTGCAGACTATCCAAAATAATTCTAATAGATAGTATTGAAACACAGGCTGAAGAGTTTCCTTTCAAATGGACAATTGTCAATTTTTCCTCACCAGACATAGCAAAGGAGATACACGTTAGTCATTTATGAGTACATACTGTCATTGGTGAAACCCTTGATAGTGCGTTCGAGTTAACTAATATGGGCTTACTTTTTCCAAAAAAGCATGTTGATTCATCTAGTGACTATATGAGATGCAGAGATGATGATATGACATTAGATGTCTGTTTCTTTTCTGTTTTTGCAATTTATTCTTTATTTTGATATGGTTTTACAGATTGGTGTAGTAATTTAATATAAACAGGGTAGTTAGGTGAGTTTGAAAAGGTTTACAAGTGACTTCGAGAATATGCCTTCTGTGAAAAAGTATGGGAAGTAGCTAAAGGAGAATTCTGTAGACTTAAGAATATTCTTGCTTCTTGAAGCTAATGAACTCGAGCATTGCGCAGGCGATGGTGATTTCCCATGTCTCCAGTGGTTAGTCTTGAGATGTTATTAGTTGGAAATGTTCCCTTGGTGTTCAACACAAAATTTGAACCTGCGGTGAATTAAGTTGGATTGGTGTGGCACTTCCTTTGTTGCTTTTGCTAAGCAGATTCAAGACTGTCAAGTTGAAATGGGAAACTGAAAATTTGAGGTTTGAAGCTACAGCATGTTATCCATTCTCAATTATTTAGTTCTTTCCTATGCCATATGGATGCTAACTTTCTGTACAAACTTTTTGTTATTTCTTTATCCCCTCATTTTGTTTTCTCTATTTTGCACTGTTTATCCGTAGATCAAAATCCCTGAATATGATGAATCACAAATAGACGATTTGGTCATGCTTGCAGTGAATTAACAATTATTTTAAAATGGTGCGTTCGGGGCTGCATTTGTCTTTATATCTGCAATTACCATACATCTCCATGCCAAATGAAATGAAATGGTGTTGCTTTCTTGTTCAGATAATTAAAGGTTACAAATGAATTGGTTCCTCATCAACTGATGATCTTCTATTCAAAACTTAGGTTTCTTGTTTGATGCTTTTCTCCGATCCCCTTGTAAGGTAAATTCCAAGTGCTATCATTAATCACAATTGCCTTGTTTCAAAAAAATGCATTGCTTATTCTTTTTTGACAGACAAATAGCTTCTTATTTGCAGGTCATTAAAGATGACTTAGAGCCCAATTTCACCTGTGGATGGTGCAGTATTAATCCCATGATTTTGGATAATGCCTCTGTAACTCTTCAAATTGGTCTATGTTTCCTTTCCTAGGGGAAAAGTTGAGATTGAGTGGGCTTAATCTATCCCTCTGAGAGGCATTTCACAGCTTAAGGTGCTCAAGCTAGAAAGCGCCTTCCGGCAGCTTTAAAGCTCATGTGGTGGAACATGTCCCAAGGTCGGAAAATGCAGATGCTGATATCCTCTCCAAGCTCGTCCATGAAGCCCCGAGTACATTTCAAAAATCGCCAAAATCGTGGATGTCCCGGCTGCTAGCATAGATGTGTTGCCACTCGCTCCGGTGGGGTAGGAGAGGATAACTGGATCACCGGCCTGATGGGTTACCTTGAGAGTGGGCGATTTCCGGAGGACGATGAGCGTGCTCGGAAGGCTAAACTCCGAGCTCCGAGGTTCTAGATAGTAGATGGGAAGTTGTACCAGTGATCATATGGCAGCCCTCGGATGAGATGCCTTACAGATTTTGAAGCAAAAACTTGGTGATGACTGAGCTGCATTCTGGAATTTGCTCGTCACACCAAGGGGGGAAGTCACTAGTCCGGATAATAATGTTCATCAGGTATTATTGGCCGTTGATCCAGTTGGATTGAGAAGAACTAACTTGGAACTGCGAGGCATGTCAGGTCTTTGCTAAAATGCCTGGTCAGCCATCGACATTTTACCAACCAGTCAGTACCGCAATACCTTTTGCCCAGTGAGGTGTGGACATCATAGGGCCTTTCCCTGAGCTTTCTGGTTGGATGAAGTTCATAATCGTGGCAATCAAATTACTTTTCAAAGTGAATCGAAACCGAACCGTTGGCTACTATCACCTCTCAGCAGTGTGAAAGGTTTCTATGGAAGAACGTGGTATCCCGATTTGTTGTCGGCAGTTTGTAAATCTCCTATTTTATTTTTATAAATATTATTTTTAAATTTGTAAATCTCCTATTTATCATCCAATATAACTAATGCACAACATTTGTTGATTCTATTATATGGATTCCACCGGTTTTAGGACCGTCTTCCAGAGCTAAAATTCTAACACTATAGACACGTATAGAGTCGGAAGAAAGTGAAATAGTGAAGTGCCTTGGCTATTTTGAATTGTATAGCAGAACTTGAATCTATATTAAATGCCTGCAATTAAGTTCTCTACTTAAGATCATTGAAATCTTTTAATAATGTAAAATACATGCTTGCAATGAGATGTGTCATATTTTATACACTTTGGTCATAAAAAATTTCATTCTGACATGTCAAATTCTGATCAGCTAATTATCCTTCATTAATAAATGGTCAACGTATGTAAGAGAAATTTAATTACGTTTATCAACTTGAAAATATTAAATAATTTTGTACATTACCTAGATTCTTTCACATGAACACATAGTCTGGTTAGCCCCAAATGTCACATGAATTGAGGCAATAATAGAAAAAATGCACACATGCAAGAAGTATAAGAGACATTATTGGAAATAGTTAATTCCAGCAATTGTCCTCTGACTATGTTGATTTTCCACAATTAGTCCCCGACTTTTAATTTGGACAATTTAGACCCTTGACTTTCAAAATCTTTCCAATATAGGTCCTTCCGTTAGTTGAAAGTTAAGTGGATGTTAGTTTGAGGGGTAAAATAGTCATTCACCGTCTTTCTCGCTTTCCTTGTATTCATTCTCTAATCTCTATCGGAAAATTATATGCCATCGGAAAATTATATGCCATCGGAACTGACGACTCTGCTTTTTGTATCGGTTCCAAGTTCCCAAGCCGTCGTTGCCGGGCCATTTTTTCCCTCTTTACCTTTCACTCTAAGCAATCTCTTCTTGCTTAACTGATCTCCATAGCTCAGAGCTTCGTCTTTCTTTTATGGAGATTGATTGTTGAAGAGCGTCTCCCTATCTCACTGTAGTTTATTTCACCTGTGCATGGAGTGTTAGGCAATAATGGAAGCTTCAGGATAGATTTATCAAATAGGAGTTTTTTCTTCTTTGTGTTTTTGGGGGTGGGAGGTTTATGAAGCATGGATACAAATATGTGCGTGTTTCCAACATAAACAAGAGTGTATGTGATTTTCAAAAACTAAGGGGACACAACACAGAACAACATGATTTTTTATTACTGTGATTATTATAACATGGCATTAAATTAAGTTGCTCCACCATTCACATTGGATCAGTATACTGAAGTTGAATAAGCTCATTCTGCTTCTTCCTTCATGCTCCCCTTCTTCGTTTGGACATTTGACTTCACACCAATTATTCATGTACTTTGAGACTGTTCGGTAAGAAAAGAAGAACAAATGCAGCACTCCGGCACCGAGCAGCCGCTGTCTCCGGCGGAAATCCTTGACCAAATCAACGTCCTTCTTTCGCAACTGCTGTCGTATTCTCTGTCGATTAAGTCGTTCACCTCGCGCTGGCAGGTTCTCCGGTCGAAGCTCGGTAGTATAAAGTCACTTCTCAGTGAAATCTACGAGTCACCGCGCACTGGTCTGACAATGCGCTCCTCCCTACGCTTCTTCCTGCTTTCGACTCTCCTCCGCGTGGATACTCTCTGCCGCCAGTGCGGAGATCCTTCTTTTACCCCCGGCAAGCTTCTTGAAAAAATATAAGGAGCAACACACACAGTAATGTTGTAACGTATGTTTGTAACACCAGGAAATTGTAACGCAGTTTGGGCGAAAACCCTAATCTGCGAGGCACTTCTCAAATTGAGAATTAGCCTAAATTCACTATGAGCAATTTCAAAAATACAGAGTATAGGAAGAAGAAAACTTTACACAATAGATCTCACAAACTCTCATAATCTATTGTAACCTAAACTCTCGTACTACTCCAAAGTGATAGACTCTCTTTCTCTCAATATATCTGTATGCACTCGGTCAGATGATTCGGGTAAAATCGCTGCATCTATTCTTCTAAGAGTCTTTCTTAAATAGGTGATACTTGATCACAATCCTAGTTGAAGTATAAGTCCCAATTAGATTAGGATTTGAATGATGCTTGTACTTTGACTGGGAGACAATTGAATCGTGACTGGGAGACAATTGAATCTGTGTTTTCAATTATCCTTTTTGCCAATAATATTTTTGACAATTCTTTATTCAACAATTTCCCCCTTTGTCAATATTTTTGGCAAAAACCTTGATTCTTGATTTTCTTGAATATCTCCCCCTTAGTCCTTGCTGTCTAGTAGTCTGCTTATCACAATCTTCAAGTGGTAGTTTTGATTTGAAGTGATTGGTGATAGTGTCAAGTCTTTAAACTGTCTTAGTCCAAGGATTAGTAACCTAGGCAGTTTTTGCTAATAATGCACATAGTCATTTGCTATTGCAATTACATTAGCATGCTATTTTGATAGTAAGACAGGACACAAAAGATAGTCTTTCTAATGATGCACATAGTCATTTGCTATTGCAGTTACATTAGCATGCTACTTTAATAGTAAGACAGAACACAAAGATAGGCAGATGTCAAAAAGATTGTCTTGGCAGTATCAGTATCAAACAGTATAAAAAAAAAGGCATAATAGTAAGCAGTCATCATCATAATAGTAAGCAGTCATCATCATCAGGATTCATCTCCCCCTGTTTTTGACAAAAACATTTGACAAGTTCAGTCTGAGTCAGAGGATGTTGCTTCTGGGGTTCCAACAGCCTGTTTTTCTTCTTGGCTTCCTTCTTGATTTTCTGCATCATCTTCTTGGGACTTTTTAGTCTCTCCTTCAGATTCTTCTTCATCAGCATTTACTTCTTGGGATTTTTCAGCTTCCTTATCAGGCTCTTCTTCATTATTTGCTCCTAAGGCTGTAAGCCATTTGAGTACTTCAACTTTCTCTTCTTGGATTTCCAACTGTTTCTGCTTTATGTACCTTTCAGATGTATTAAGCTCATTGAGTCTTTTCTGGAAGTATTTTTGAAGCATATCAGTGTTCATGGGGTCATCTTCTGGACTTGTGGTTTTCAGGTCATTTTGATGAAATCCCTTTTTCAGTTTAACAGACACATTCAGGGTTTTGATCTGTTGGAGATTCTTCTTGGTAGTCTTCAGTCCTTGTTTGGTGAGGATGGTTTGGATTAGGTTTGGAAAGATTAGAGAGGCTTTGGGAGATTTGATTTCAGCTAGATTCATGATTTGTTGATGTACCAGTTCTCCATAGCTGATTTTGATCTTTTTCCCAACTTTGTATAATAATTCTGCCAAGCTCCATTTCACAGTGTTCTCATGTAAGGAAGGCATCCAGTTTGCCAGAGCTATTTTCTGTAGGATTGCATATTTGCTTGTTAGGCAGGCAGCTTTGATCTTCTTCTTTTCAAGGACTACATTTCCTGCTGTGATCTCCTGGGCTATGATGTCCCCATTATGATCAAATTGATCATCTTGTTCAAAGGTGTTGTAGCAGGTGTTTATAACATCTGGGGAAAAGTCATAGTATTTTCCTCTTAGGTAAATTTTTCCATACAAAGGACTTGATGGGACTGATGATTCCTTTTTGAGATTGCTATAAAATTCATGAATCATTTTTTCTTCAAATGGTTCAATCTTTGTGACTGTGTCAAGCAACTTTCCTTGAGCTAGGAGTTCTATGATGTGTTCTCCATCTTTAAGGTTCTCCAGATTGACCAGCTTTTGAGGGATGATTTTTCGTTGTGAGGTTTTGTGCCACAGATTGCTTGAAGCTTTATCCTGGAACTGGTTGTTGAGAGGTTGTGGCAGATCGGATGTTGGAAGTGTGGTTTCAACATCTATTTCTGCTGTTTGTTTTCCCTTTTCCTTTGATGTGAACTTCCTTCGTGATTTGCCCTGATTCTTTGAGACATTTACCTGGGGCTTTTTGGACCTTTCATTCTGGCATTCTTTACTATTTTCCCAGTCATCATCAACTTCTTTTTGTTTTCTTTTAGCAGTCCTAGTCATCCTTGGAGGTGGGATGTTAGGTGTCCTTCTTGGAGGCCCCACAGAGATTGGAAAATCACATGGTCTTTTAGCTCTGGGGTCAGCTCCTTCATACGGATCCACTCTTCTTCTTTTTCTTAGGAATTCATCAGGATTAGTTTCATTTGGGCTTGTTTCGTGGCCTTCTACTCTTAATTCAGTAGAAATATTGTCTAGCTCTTTTTCAAAGCTGTCAACTGTGTCTGAATTTGTAACCCTAATTTCTGGGTTAGATTCTGATTCCCTAATTTCTTCCTCATTTGTAGGGAGTTTTTCTTGTGGCACTAAGTTTTCACTTTGTTGGTGTATGATTTTGTCTAGGTCAACTATCAATTCCCCAAATATACCCTCTGAACTAGTCGGTTCTGTTTCTGCAATCGGGTTTGATTCTGCAAGTGGGTTATCATCTAGGGGTGATTGGAGAGGGGGAGATGAGTTACCTGGTTGAGAGTAGATGTCTTCGAAAGGTATCTGCGTGATTGGTACTGGATCCATGACTATATCCTCCGAGTGTTGTGGCTGATCGAGTGGAGAATCTTTGCTGATGGCAGGGGTTCCTCGTCGTGGTGGCCGACGGGATGATTTCTTTCCTTTCGGCATCTTGGAACCTCTTGATTTCTTCATAGTTCTGAGATTGGTGAGTGATGAAGAAGATGATCGACAGGAGTGGTGGTCGTGGATGGCGATAGTGGTGGTGATCGTGGATGGTGATGGACAAAACAGAGGAGTGAGATTGCAATCGGACCCGGAAGTGATATTTTGGATTTTGAACCGGATTCATAACATGGGCTATTGGGCTGAGATCCGGATTCAGATTATGGCATTCATGGGTTGACCCGGTTTGTCATTCGTAAGCTTCCTTTTTTAAAAAAAAAAAATAATATATGAAAAAAAAACTATTATATAAAACAAGAGAAAGAGTAGAGTTTAGTTAATTCTACACAGTCCAATTTCAGACCTTAGTCTTATGAATTTATTTCCGTCCAATCCTTTTGTCATTATGTCTGCA